CTCTCTCTCTCTCTTTATGGTCTCTCTGTCTGGTCTCTCTCTTGTCTCTCTCTCTCTTTATGGTCTCTCCCTGGTCTCTCTCTCTCTCTCTTTATGGTCTCTCCCTGGTCTCTCTCTCTCTCTTTATGGTCTCTCCCTGGTCTCTCTCTCTCTCTCTTTATGGTCTCTCCCTGGTCTCTCTCTCTCTTTATGGTCTCTCCCTGGTCTCTCTCTCTCTCTCTTTATGGTCTCTCCCTGGTCTCTCTCTCTCTTTATGGTCTCTCTCTGGTCTCTCTCCAGCACAGGGGGCTGGCCTCCTGCAGAGACCCCCCCTGGGTGAGCAGGATGAGAGGGAAGTCTCGGGCATCTCTGCTCAGGCTGCTGCCCCCACGAGCCGGCAACAGATAATGCGGAAGAAAATGGATGACCCTCACACACACATACACACACACACTCAAACAAACAAACACACTACCCTCACACATGCACACTCAAACAAACACACACACATATATGCACGCACACACAAACACACACATTTACACAGTTAGATGCTTTCGAAACTTGCTTCTTCTTTCCTTTTTCTTCTTTTTCTACTAATGCTCCAGTTTTTGCTTTGTTTTATTCAATGATGGTCATCCTAAGACACACACACACACACACAAACACCAACACGCACACACACACACACACACACACACACACACACACACTACAGCGCGATTGCAGAGAGAGAGAGAGAGAGAGAGAGGCTGCCACACTCTCCGCTTCCACAGAACCGTCTCAGTCCTCGCAGTCTCCTCACGCTGCGCATCTGTCTCCAGCTCCGGCTCCGGGTCCAGGTCTCTCTCCTCCGCTCGGACTAAACCTCTCATCCACAACTTTTACTATTCCTCCTTTTCTCTGGACCACAACTTTTAACGTCACACGCTTCACTGCATCTTTCCTTCCACCGGTAAGAAGCCCACGATTTACACACACACAAATCCTCCTCTCTGCCATACATCCTGCCGTAACTTACATTTAGCATTCTCCGTACGCGTGCCATGACTGTGCGTAAAGCCGTCCCAAAGCACTACGCACACCTACCATATGTGTATATATATCGATCGATTAGCGGATGTTTTTTCCCCTGAGTTGATACGCGAACAGGTGCATCTGGCGTTTGCAACTTTTCCTCCTCTCTCCGCTCGCACTCAATCCGTGTTTCGTGCATGCGTCCCATGCCATGTAGACGCATGCAGTGATCGATTAGCGGCTGTTTTTTTCCTCTAGTTGATTCACGAACCGGTGAAGATGCAGCGTTGTCAACTTTTCCCGTTTCTCCTCTCGCACGCATTTAATTTAAATTTAACCATACAGACACAGCAGCACACAATATTGTCCAAAAAGAAAAACCATGTGTCTCTCTGCTCTCTCTGCTCTCTATGTTTTTTCTCTCTGGTCTCTCTAGTCTTTCTCTGTGGTCTCTCTCTAGTCTCTCTCTCTCTGCTCTCTCTGCTCTCCCTTTTTGGTCTCTCTCTGGTCTCTCTCTGGTCTAATAAATCAATATATAAATGTTCCCATAATGTCACAATTCCCTACATATGGTCTCTCTTCATACTGCATTCAGAAAGTTTGCTTCCAAGACAGCAGTACGTGACAATTCGAGGTCGTGCGTAAGTTTCAAGCCCTATTTATATATATATTCTGTTTTTTAATTAAAACTTGAGCACAAGGGGGTAATTAGGAGCATGTTTTTATTACAAGGGAAATGAGTTTGAGATGGAAATGAGAGGTCGCACAGAGCCACGCACAGAGCCACGCACAGAGCCACGCACAGAGCCACGCCGTTACGCACGCCTCTCCTTCCCCACATGCACCGGACAGACGCGGACGCCACTGCCCATTACGCACGGCACGGGAACATGGCACTCATTAGCGGCGTTCATCCCCTCGCAGCTGACGGTGGTCCCGCAAAGTGGCCAAGCGAAGTGAATTCTAATAAGAGAAAGAGGTTTTGTGATTGGCAGAGCTTGAGTCTGGAGTTTTGACAGTTATTGACAGAATACGGCTGGAGACCAACAGAGGAGTAGGATGAGTGACATGGCTTTGAAAAGTGGAGAAATCACGTGAATTTGATTGATTTGAAATATATTCTTAAAATGTGTGTTCATGGACAAGCAAAATGAGCAACTCGTGAATACAGGCTTTGCCAATATCAGGTGGTTCATATAGAGATTTACTGTTTGCACACAAAGTTAATGATGATTGGCCTTTAATATAAATATCTCAATTTGGGCCTATAATATCTCAATCAATTACAGGGTTTTTGATTTAAAATATAATCAATCAGGGTGTACAATCAGGGAATAAGTCCTGTTTGTATGGTCTACCTTTTATAGATACTTTCTCAAACCATATTTGAGTTTTTGATTTAAAAAAAATCATATAAAATGTCTGAACTTTGACATTTTACTACTTTCACTTTCAAACATTTCTTTTTATTTGCATTTGTGACCAACGTGTGATAAATACCATCCTACCATACACTATAGTTGTGTTCATTCAACAGTTTATTTGCAAAACACACGTCTGCATTTTGAGAATTTGCCAAAAAACGTGAATTCCTCGAGCTACAATCCTCCACATGTTTTGTAATTGGCAGAACATTTGAAAGTAGGCGCAAAATATGTGTGCGTGTGTGTGCGTGTGTGCGTGCGTGTGTGCGTGCGTGTGTGTGTATGGGATCACACAGGAAGCAAAATGAGCCACTTTTAAAATATATTTTAGATTTTAATACTATGATAACGGCTGTGTACACGTCCAATACTGATTTTTGACACCAGGCTGGAGATTTAAAATAAGGCTGTACAGTAAGTTAAAATCGGGAATAGGTCCCGCTCGTATGATTGATATTGATCATTTATATATACTTTCTCAAGCAATTTCAGGGCTTTAGGGATGTATTCTGTCGGATTGTTACTTACTTTTATCTACATTCACCAACCGCATGTGATAAACTCCATAGCATCAAACCACAGTGGACCTAACAGCGACTCTACGTTCATTTACTAAGATAGAGAACTTTAAAATGTGTCAAAAACATGTATTTCCTCTTCTACAATGCTCCACTTTCCTCCATGTTTGTGATCGGCCAAAACATTTGACAGAATTTGCTCGAGAAAGAATGAAATTTGACTTGTGTGGCAGTAAATTAGACCTGGATTTTCCCAAGAACGACTCAGTAAAGGTCAAGTTGGAAACGTTTCAAAAATATTTCCAATGACCTTTATGTGATTTTGCAAATGATCTAAGTAAGAAGTGGTTAGAATCGTTTACGAATTCCTTTTTTTTGTCCAAGAAGTTCAGAAATCTCTTAACGATTGCATTACTTCCACAAACTGTTATTAGCAACTCACTAATTGCTTCTTCTGTTTACATGAAAATCTACAATGTGTTTTTCTAATCGTTCAAATTATGAAATTGAAAACACAATCTGGCTCCAGCTCTAACTATTTTCTTTCATTATCCAGTTATTTTTGCACTTGTGTAAAGAGGGTTTGGACGTTTGCCTGAACCGCTTTGAACCTTAACGAAGCAGAAGCCGTTGCCGGTGATTATCGCAGTAAAACGTTATTAATGTCGTCATTGATTTTGCGCTCAGTCAAACCTGATTAGTGCAAAACATGTCTCATAAAGTCTATTTCTATGGACCACAAACAAGCAGCAAAATACCTCTCTCTGGTCCCTTTCTCTGGTCTCTCTCTCTCTGGTCTCTCTCTTTCTAGTCTCATTGTGGTCTTTCTCTGGTCTCTCTCTTTCCAGTCTCATTGTGGTCTTTCTCTGGTCTCTCTCTCTCTCTGGTCATTTAATAATATTTAAATAGACCTACCTCCTATGGACCAATGGCTCCTATGTGTTTGTTATTATTGCATTTACAAAGAGAGACCAGTGAGAGACCAGAAAGAGAGACCAGTGAGAGACCAGAGAGATAACAGAAAGACAACAGAGAGAGAGACAAGAGAGAGAGACCACAGCGAGGCCGGAAAGAAACCATATTGAGACCAGAGAAAGAGAGAGAGACTAGAGTGAGACCAGAGAGAGACCAGTGAGAGAGACCAGAGAAAGACCAGCGAGACAGCGAGACCGGAGAGAGACCAGGGAAAGAGAGACCGACTAGAGTGAGAGACCAGAGAGAGAGCGACAAGAGAGACCATAGCGAAAGATCAGAGATAGACCAGAGAGAGACCATAAAAGACCAGAGAAAGACCAGAGAGAGACCATAAAAGACCAGAGAGAGACCAGAGAAAGACCAGAGAGAGACCAGAGAGAGACCATAAAAGACCAGAGAGAGACCAGAGAAAGACCAGAGAGAGACCAGAGAGAGACCATAAAAGACCAGAGAGAGACCAGAGAAAGACCAGAGAGAGACCAGAGAGAGACCAGCGAGAGACCAGAGAGAGACCAGAGAGAGACCAGAGAGAGACCAGAGAAAGACCAGAGAAAGACCAGAGAGAGACCAGAGAGAGACCAGAGAGAGAGACCAGAGAGAGACCAGAGAAAGACCAGAGAGAGACCAGAGAAAGACCAGAGAGAGACCAGAGAAAGACCAGAGAGAGACCAGAGAGAGAGACTAAAGAGAGAATATGTCTCATGATAAATAATGATACCTGATAATGATAACGATAACAGCTGTCATAAACTGTGACTTTCAGACCAGCGCACATCTATCATCTCTCACACACACACGCACACACACACACACACACACACACACACACACACACACACACACACACACACACACACACACACACACACACACACAACTCTGTCCTCAATCCCACCAACACAAAACCACTCTACTGCAAACAAAATCCTATTCATTCCATATAACTTTTCCTTCTGGGGTCAGACTCCCGCTGTCTCCATCGTTCCGAGCCTCGAGCCGCGTTGATAGAGCGGAATATGGACGACGGGAGGCGTGTGATTGGTTAGAGAGCGCTGTCGCACTGGTAATCCTGTTGTGAGCCGGGCAAATGGGATTAGGACAATACTGTGAGAGAAACACAGCCGGGGAGAGACAGGAGGGGGGAGACGGGGAGAGACGGGAGGGGGGAGACGGGGAGAGACGGGAGGGGGGAGACGGGGAGAGACAGGAGGGGGGGAGGGAGACGGGGAGAGACGGGAGGGGGGAGACGGGGAGAGACGGGAGGGGGAGGGGGGAGACGGGGAGAGACGGGAGGGGGGAGACGGGAGGGGGGAGACGGGAGGGGGGAGACGGGGAGAGACGGGAGGGGGGAGACGGGGAGAGACGGGAGGGGGGAGACGGGGAGAGACGGGAGGGGGGTGTCTGGATCGCTCTCGGACTGGATTGAGTCAATGGGTTTTGGCGGCAAGGCACGTTTATGTGGGAATAAAACAATCAGACAAGACTTTATAATCATTAATAATCACAGTAGATTACAAAGAGTCAAGATACAGTCCTTCAGCTGTAAAGAGAAGAAACCTGTCTCACATTTTTATTGAAGACTGTTCCAGAAATTAGCCGCGTGAATCTGAAAGGCAGCCTCCCCGTGTTTAGTCCTGACTCTGGGGCCAGCAGGAGGTCAGTCCCTGTGCTCCTCAGAGTCCCAGCAGGAGGCCAGTCCCTGTGCTCCTCAGAGTCCCAGCAGGAGGCCAGTCCCTGTGCTCCTCAGAGTCCCAGCAGGAGGCCAGTCCCTGTGCTCCTCAGAGTCCCAGCAGGAGGCCAGTCCCTGTGCTCCTCAGAGTCCCAGCAGGAGGCCAGTCCCTGTGCTCCTCAGAGTCCCAGCAGGAGGTCTGGAAGTCTCAGTGGTGGATGGTGTCATGGTTTAGATGTGATCATTGAGATATTTATTCAATTTCTTTGGACTAATTTTACATTTATGCCTCATCAAATACATTTAATCAATTGTGTGTGTTCTAGTTATGTCCGGACAGTGGTCATCCTTCTCCTCTCGCACCAATATTTGCTTTTATTACATTTTCTGTGTTGAAACTGTCGGCGAATCCACAGCTACAGGATCACTGCAGCTTGGATTCAGGCCTCTGCACAAATGGGTGGAAGTGGATTGAAAACACATCCTCTCGTATCGTCACTTTGAAACCGTCTCCACATGGCCCGGGATCGCTCGTTCTTGATCATATCTGAGCGTGTGCGGGGTCCTTGGCGAGGGTCTCCGGGGGGAACCAGGGCAGAGGATTTGGCGGCGGATGCCTCAAACTGGAGTGCGTTGGCTGCGGCGTGAGTTTAACCCTGGAACCCCCCAGACGTGGATCACACACAAGTCTTCATCTCAGAGATCTGGACCACAGCGTTTGGTCTCGGATGTAGGACGCCAAAACACCACAGAGGGAAGACGCTGTTTTTTCTCTGAGTGTTTGGAAAGCTTGGGTAATGACACCGACCTTTAGCGAAACTAGAGAAAGAAGAAGAGTCACTGAAATGTATGATTTAAGTTGTTTTTTGGGTGAAATTGTCTTGTGTATTATTTCTTTGAATGGATTGAAAATTATTTATGAAAATTTATTTTGTAGGAGGGTCTAGGGACTGTGGTGATCCTGGATATTCTAGAACGTTCATGGATTTTTGTCTTCCTGCTCCCTATGGTCCGAAGGCTTCTATGTGTTTGTTGTAGATTAGATTAGACTTTATTTGTCACTATACAAATGCATAATTAAATTAAAAGCAACTCCACCAGTGCAGAAGTGGACACACAGACTAAGTTAGTAGACATACACAGAAATAAATCAATAACTTTGAAGTGTGCAGTTGCATCTATTGCTCGGGAGTTATAAATATATATTAGAGAGAGAGAGAGAGAGAGAGAGAGAGAGAGAGAGAGAGAGAGAGAGAGAGAGAGAGAGAGAGAGAGAGAGAGAGAGAGAGAGAGAGAGAGAGAGAGAGAGAGAGAGAGAGAGAGAGAGAAACCAGAGACCAAAGAGAGACTACAGGATGAGACTAAAGAGATACCAGAGAGAGAGAACATGGAGAGAGAGAGAGTGAGAGAGACACCAAAGGCAGCAGAGAAAAAGAGAGCGGAGAGAGAGAGATAACAGAAACAGACACCTAGAGAGAGAGCAGAGAGAAAGAGACCAGAGACCAGAGAGAGACCAGAGAGAGAATAGAGACTAGAGAGAGAGTAGAGACTAGAGAGAGAGTAGAGACTAGAGAGAGAGTAGAGACTAGAGAGAGAGTAGAGACTAGAGAGAGAATAGAGACTAGAGAGAGAGTAGAGACTAGAGAGAGAATAGAGACTAGAGAGAGAGTAGAGACTAGAGAGAGAATAGAGACTAGAGAGAGAGTAGAGACTAGAGAGAGAATAGAGACTAGAGAGAGAGTAGAGACTAGAGAGAGAAGTTTTCTGGATTATATTAGAATTTGATACCTTGGTACATTTTCGTCAGGTGCTCCTCTGGGTCCTTAGTGAAAAAAAAAAACTGGAACATGTGAAAAATTATGTTCTCACTTTTTTTTCTTTCAGTAAAATGGTGTCTGTTCAGATGAAAGCAGCATGTTCTGGTCGGATTTGTCAATTTCTGTTCAGACTCTCACAATGCATTAGGAAAAACTCAGGTGTGTTAAACTAATACAGCACAGGGACTGGCCTCCTGCTGGGACTCTGAGGAGCACAGGTACTGGCCTCCTGCTGGGACTCTGAGGAGCACAGGGATTGGCCTCCTGCTGGGACTCTGAGGAGCACAGGTACTGGCCTCCTGCTGGGACTCTGAGGAGCACAGGTACTGGCCTCCTGCTGGGACTCTGAGGAGCACAGGTACTGGCCTCCTGCTGGGACTCTGAGGAGCACAGGGACTGGCCTCCTGCTGGGACTCTGAGGAGCACAGGGACTGGCCTCCTGCTGGGACTCTGAGGAGCACAGGGACTGGTCTCCTGCTGGGACTCTGAGGAGCACAGGGACTGGCCTCCTGCTGGGACTCGGAGGAGCACAGGGACTGGTCTCCTGCTGGTCCCAGAGTCAGGATTCTAATGTCTTTCCGAGAGAAAAAGGGGGATTCTTTGGCTTTAATTGAGTTCTAATCCATGGAATCCTGAATGAATGCAGCTGTATACACCAGATACAGCCGCAGCTCCACCTTCAGTGTGTCGTGTGCGAGTGGACACGAGAAAACGCACAAATGTAGGTTTGAAAAGCACTCGGTACGAACAGCTGCGTGTGACAAGAAAGGTTGTGACGGAGCTGTGTGGAGGACAGTGTGTGTGTGTGTGTGTTGTGAGTGTGTGTGTGTGTGTGTGTGTGTGTGTGTTGTGAGTCCGTCCTCTCATATTGACATTGACAGCCAAACAAGCAGATGTAAGAGCAGACTCAGCACTTTCTATCCATGAGAGTCTGATCAAGAGTTGGATTGGACTGAGTGTGTGTGAGAGGACAGAGAGGAGTGTGTCTTCTGTGTGTGTGCGCGTGTGTGTGTGTGTGTGTGTGTGTGTGTGTGTGTGTGCTTGTGTGTTTGTGTGTGTTTTTGGAAGAATCTCAGTGGCAAAAATCGCTGTGACGATCTCGCACTTTGTCTTAAAACCCACTGTCATTCTTTGGCTTTTAACACTACATGAGTTGTGTGGTCCTCCGTGTTTTTTTTCGTATTCATGGTATTTATGGTTTTAATCTGTTATATATCTTTTTATAGTTGTATACTTGGTGGAGCTAAGGATATTTTTCATTGTTACTTGTTAGGGGCCTGAAGGTTGTGGGTTTAGAGCCCACCATAAGACCTACTTCACGACTCCCACTGATGTCTGCTGTCGTTGTGTTCTTGGGAAAGACACTTAACCCCAATTTGCCTGAAGCCCCCACTGAAAGATCAAGGCTCCTGTGGACTCAGCACCTGCAGAAGGATCAGTGAGGGGCTGGTGCTCTGTGTACTGGGTTCAGCTCTGACTGCCACCCCCCAAAACCCAGGAATGGATTAAGGGGAAGAAAATGGATGGAGTTTTACTTGTTTGTGCATATATAATAAAATCTCTATTCTCTAACTTTACCATAACAAAAAAGCAGGTTATGTTGTTATGACACAAGATACATGAATAGTAAGTGCAGCACGATTCTATACTTAAATAACTGAAATATATAAACAACCTATACCATACTGTATACTCTGATGCAAGAAATATTTACTCGTGTGTATACTTATATATAGATAGATCTGCAGTACATTAGCTCTGTTAGCCGCACGAGGCTCTTGGCTAAATGTGACTTGATTGACATCTCACACCGTCACTGTAATGTTTACCATCTCAGCACAGACTGTTTCCGAGATTCTGTTTCTAAGCTCGATGTAAATACCTACTTTCCACATCTGTATACTTCTCCTTTAACACAAGGGAAAACACAGAATACAACCCAACTCCATGTAGTAAAACCAAGCGCTGTCCCACTACAGCAGCTTGTGGAACTTACACCATTATCACCTCCTCTGTCGCTGCTTCCTTTCTCTACGATTAAACATAATGAGTCTGAATATGTCCGCAGCGCAGAGACAGAACCAGCCTTTACCCGCCACACCTGCCCCGAGCCAGATCGGCCCCACTTTCAGACCAACACCGTGGTCTTTCCTGGTCCTGACTCTGGATGTATGTGGCGATCGTGGGCTGAGTTGGGATTGGTCACTGAGAGGACGATAAGGGACTGAAAAAATTGTGGTTAGAAAGCCGCTGTGATGTGGTTCAAACTGGACACATAAGGAACTAGTGAAAAGAAACATATTAATCGAAATATTAGACTTGCACCTGTGTAAATGTGAAGTGGAATAAGTCATATTTAAAACAGAATTCTTACAAAAAATTGAAAACGTCAGCTCTCTGATGAGTGAGTCACAGGATCTATACACCACATACAGAATTCCTAACAAACATACACAATTCTAAAGCCTGAGTCCTGGTTCTATAGCCATCTATAGTCTATTCATGGGAGTGGTTCATCTTTGAGGTTTCTCACTTTTTTCCCATTGGGTTTTTTAATGGTTCTTGCCGATGCAGCAGAGTCTAAGGACAGTAGTGATCCCGGACATTTAAGGACATTCATTAACATTTATAGACAGTGCTCCTCCCGCTCACTGCATGTGCACCAAAGGCTCCAACGTGTTTGTTCTTGTATCGAACTCTTTGATTTCCTGATCCGTTGTTGGCAAATCGACATCTTTGCAAAGTCCTCAGAGACGACTGTAGTTGTGATTTAGGGCGATACACAAATAAATTGAATGGGATTGAATTAAAAACCCAAATTGTAACTTCTGCACTGTGGATGATAGTTACCATGTTTTGCGTGAGCCTCCTCTGTGTCTTCAATCTCTTGATAGATACAGAGATATATATACAGTAGGTAGATAGATAGATAGACATATA